CACACACACACACACACACATATATATATATATATTTGTTTTTCCACACATATCTAAAGCAAAACAGTGTAACTAGATTTAATTTCTCATTTTATATACAGAAATAGTATACTTGGTGTTCTTTTCCATTAAAATTCGCCCCAATGGTTGAAGCATGATTATGAATGCTTTTCCAATACATGCTTGTTCCCAAGTTGGGGAAATAATATAACTTGTTAAATTTTAAATGGGAAGTTTTTGGGAGCTTCAGTTAGAAAACAAACCAAATCAGAAGCTCCCAGCACAATGAAAAATAAAAGTATAGATGTATTTTGTGCCATTGTTAGTAGTTTTTGTCCCAAGTATAGTCTTTTGTGAAGTAAACAGGGTTGAGAAAAGTTAATTTAGAAAATGAAATGTTCTGTTTAGACTTTGGTTTAGAGTAGAAAAATAGATTCTATCTGTTGAATGATCTCTAACCTTATAATTAGAAATTTTGCTAATTTTTAGTTTTTCAAGTTTTCTGTGCCTAACAGAAACAGTACTTACATAATACATTTTTGTACGTTTTATGACTTTTATGGCTAATTACTTTTGCTTTAAGAAAACATTCATTTCAATTATCTTTATTGTGTAGTATTGTTATAACACGTTTTACCTTTGATACTCTGTTTCTTTAGTCTTTTTAGCATATACTCATGAATTACTATTACAAATAGGAGTAGTTTTGCCCTATGTCTTTCTTGAATAATGTGTGCTTATTTCAAACATGAGTAAATAGTGTTCCTTTTCACACAAAACAAAACATTCAATAATTTGAAATTGTCGCTTGTGTCTTTTCAGACATGGAATGTGGACCTCCAAGAATTAATGATAAACTAATGAGGTTCTTTGATCATTGTGAAAGGTTTTTAACTGAAGTGGAAAGGAATGATACAGCTCTTTATCATGTAGAAGCCTTCAAAACTGGACCAGAAATGCAGAACATTTTAAAAAAAGTTGCAGCTACTTTGCAAGTGCCAGTCAACAATTTAAATGCAGGTAATGTGCCTATTATCTTTCATTTGAATTCTGAAGTTGTTAAATGGTTTTTGAACTCTGAAAATGGAAAAAATATGGAAGAATAAAGTTATTCCTTTTAAAAGACCCACAATTGATTTTACAGTAAGAAAATAATATGTTTTCGGTCATGCTTAACTACTTTTAGATGGAAATTCTTTGAGTTTTATGTAAGCTAATGTACAGGATTTTTACTATATTCTGGAATTTTTTTGAGGGCAGAGGTAATATAAAGTTTCAACTTTCAGCATTATATATAAAACAAAAATTATTTTTTCTGTGTTATCTCCTCATAAAGTGCTTTTGAAGCAATTCAGAAGTACATGTTCATGTCTTGAAACGGGTAAGTTTTAGAAAGTGAAAGGCACAGTAATGTGATTTTTTTGTTTTTCTTTAGGCTTTAAACTTAGAGATGCTGAGAAATGGACAGTCATGTCTGTCATAAGGTATTGCAGTGGAGATGAGCTGACTGTAGTTTATCATGCAACCTAGGACACTTGGAGGGTGAAAGTGACATTATTAATAATTATGCCAGGAAAGCAGGTGGAAAACCAGGACATACGGTCACTTAGAAATGGGAAGTTAAGAAAAAAAAATATTTTTTTTTAGGAATTTATAATGCATAGGGCAGGTGTTGACAAATATGCATACAAAGATTGTGGATTTCATTATATTGTGAATAAATTTCCAAAAGACTAGAAGTAGGAGATGTTGGAGAAAAAATGCAGACTGGAATCTGTGAATCATGGAGACTGAATGCTTAACGTTTAAAGGATCAAACAAGTGAAAATGCCTAGACTAGGCTAGCATTTTAAACTTGAATTTTTCCTCTTTCCCCAAATTGGTTGGTCACCTGCCAGTTTTAAAAATTATTTATTTTATTAGGAAATAATTCAAGCATATATGTAATAATAATGGCTAATATAATGAATGTTGTTATACCCACAACTTATTTTTATCAAATTTTAATATTATGCTTCAGTTAGTTACTTTAAGGATATTGAGGTCTTTTGGTCCTGCTGAAGGATCTCATTCATCTCCTTTTCTCTCCACAAGTAACCATTGTCATGAATTGAGCATTTAAATCATTCCTTGCCAGTTTTTTTGGTGTTCGTTTGCTTTGTTTTGTGGGGTTTTTTTTTAGATTTTTAAAATTGATTTTTAGTGAGCGAGGAGGGGAGAGGGAGAGACACATCTATGTTTGCCTCCTGCACGCCCCCTACTGGGGATCGAGCCTGACTCCTGGGGCTGGAGCTATTGTAGTCCAAATTCTTTTTAGTTTAATGGGTCTGAAATTTAGATATCCTCATGGTTTCTCCTGACAGTTCCAGTTCCTCCCCTTTGGATTATACAGAGTTAGCCTTAATCTTTGATAGCCAGGAAGAAACTGACAACTAACTTTATCCAGTTTCTTCAGTTGTGCTGCACATGGCATTCTATAGATATTTAGCCTTTGAAAAATTGCAAAGTAGTAACCTACAAATTTTACCTTTTCCCCCTCAGATTTGATTCAGGTAGCTTTTTTCACCTGTTCATTTGACCTGGCAATTAAAGGTGTTAAATCGCCTTGGTGTGATGTTTTTGATACAGATGATGCAATGGTAAGTGTTAATTTTGCAGTTTCTTTGCTTTTTTGCATGATTTATTGTTGCTTGAAGTATCTTCTCAAAAAATAAGCAGAGTAGGGAACATTAACTATCTTTGACTAACTCATAATTTTTCTTACCAAAAGAGAGATTGCTTGTTCAGATAGGGCCTACCTACTTACAACTAGTTTGGGTTCATAAAACTCTGGAAAACATTCTTCCATTGTGATTTGATTTCTAGGTCCACCTAATTAAAAATGAATTTAACCCAATATCAGATTTTATTGCTGGAGAGGATTATAGAGTTAATATAATTTAAATTCTCCTTTTTATAGGAAGCCAAGGCTCAGAGAGGATGAATGGTTTTCCAAATGTCTGTTTCTTTTATGACAGTTTGGATGATAAATTGAGTTCTGTTCCACCTGGTGATGGCAGTAATTCATCTACAGTTTCTTTCTGCCTACTTCATATTTTTTCCTCCTCAGTCATATGCCTTCTTTGTAGAGAGGCCTCTGGTGACTTTAAGGGAGGTAAATTCTGGCCAGTTTTGGGATGTTAGAAGCCAGAGAGGTGAGGTAGGAGAGCATTACTTTTTTTTTTTTTTTAAGTATGGAGAATTGCAGCATTGGATAGAATTCTGGGGATGAGATAGTGAGATAGGATGTTTGTATGTATGGATCATTAAGGAATATGGACTTTTGAAACCTTAATCATCTTCATCCCTTGCATACATATGAAACCTTCAGTATTCCATATGAAAATAAATTAACTTCAAATTTTAACCTCAAACTTTGAAAAGTAGTATACTATTTGCCAGATAGAAGCAGGCTTTTAAGGTGAGAACTAATGTATCTTTGAAGGTAAAGGAGTGCTTTATTTTGTTCCTCGAAGACAAGACCAGCAAGCAGGCTTTATGTGGTATGGTGTCAGTGTGGAACTAGGGCTCAGTGGCTGAGCTGGAAGAAGGGGAAAGGGCCCTCAGTAGATGATTACTTTAGGATGCTGAGCACCAAAAGTAATCGGTGTGTTACATTTTCTCTCTGTGATCCTGAGAGTCATGATCTTTTTCTTTGTCCCAGGTACACAGTGTGTTTCTTATCTCCTCTAATAGTCCACAACTCATCACTTCAGAAACTTACTTGTGTTCCCTCTTTTGTTATGCCCTTTGCTTAGGATGATCATGAAATTTGTCTTTTAAATTGGGATACTTTTAAAGTGAAATGAGCACCATTAATAAGTGTGCTGGTGTAGATATAAACTGAGATTTATGGTCACCATTTATATATGTGTCAAAAAAGTACATTTCCCTTTTCTCCCTACACATACTGCTCTAGGGAAGAAAGCCAATGAGCAGAATTAAAGTAATTTTCAATATTGTGTAAATGACTGAAGGTGTTGGCAAAAAGGGAATTTTAACAAAAGAATAACGTATTTGCCCAATTTACTGCAGTTGTTGGAGTATTTGGCATGTGCCCATCTGGCCCCCTGCTGTCTGCCCATTTCCTGTTCTGAATGGCTCTCCATGTGGTCCCTTCTGAGGACTGACAGTTTCTGGATTAAGTGCAAGCTACTCCCTGCAATAAAGATGTACATCTCAGATCATAGCCAGCCTCTGCTTCATCTTTGTGTCACCTACTTGTATTTCTTTCCCTTTCCCTATTTGAATCCCTTCCCAATTAAACATTGTACTCTCCTTTTGTGCATCTTCTCTTTCTCTTCTGGGAGATAGTTTGATAGATTACAAAAACCCTGGAAGTTAAGATGTTGGTCAAAGTAACACTTAATCTTTCTGTGCCTCAATTTCCTTATCTATTAAGAGACTAGAGGCCCAGTGCACCTTCTCGCAGTCTGGGACCCCTCGCTCCTTACTGCCCGCCTGCAGCGGAGACAGGAGAGGCTCCCATCACTGTCGCTGGGCTAGCCAGCTGTCTGGCTGAGCAGTGCTCCCCCTTTGGGAGCACACTGACTACCAGGGAGCAGCTCCTGTGTTTAGTGTCTGCCTCCTGGTGGTCAGTGTGCATCATAGTGACCATTCGTTCTGCCCTTTGGTCGATTTGCATATTATGCTTCTATTATATAGGATGGAACTATCAGGTGACTCAGGAACACCGCTATAACTAAGATTCTGTACTGGCCTTTCTCTTTTACTTTTTAAGATTACCCTTTTATCTCTATTGCATATGAATGCCTCTCCCGTATTTTGAAAAATTTCCAACTAACAAAAACTGTAAGAATAATACCATGAATGTTCATGTCCTTCACCTATATTCACCAGTTGTTAACCTTTCTTTTGCTACATTTGCTTTTTTCGACATATATTAGTTACCTAGACTTAGTGGTTTAAAACAACACAAGTTTATTATCTTCTGTAAGTCAGAATTCCAAAGTGAATTTTATAGGGCTAAAATCAAGGTTTCAGGAAGGCTGTGTTTTTCTGGAGGCTTTAGGGTGGGAGTGGGGGACATCCGGCCCTGCCAAGATATTAGGGGTGAGTTAATTAAATGTTTGACCAAATATAGCAGGCTAATTTTTAAGTTGATAATTTTGTATGGCCTGTGAATGATGTTATAAATATTCAAAGGCCCTTGGCAAAAAAGGGTTCCTCACCCCTTTTCCAGTCTCTAGAGGCCACCTGTACTCCTTGTATCATTCTGACCTCTGCTTCCATGGTTATGTTTTCTACTCTGACTGTCCTTCCTGTCTACTTAAAAGGATTTGTGTGATTATATTGGGTCCACCTAGATAGTTTAGGATAATTTTCCCATCTTAAGATCCTTAACTTAATCACAAATTCTCTTTTATTATGTAAAATAACATTCAGAGGTTCTAGGGATTAGGATATAGACATCTTTGGGGGTCATTTATTCTGTCTACCACATATATGTAATCTTTTTCTTTTGCAAACCTCAAGAAACTTCACCCTTAAATACTTGGCCATGCATCTCAACAAGAAGATTCTCCTACATAACCGTAATAAACTATAATTATATATATAGTACATATTATCTAGTATACAGTATTCAAGTTTTCACACTTGTCTTAATAAAGCCCCATATTTGTAGCTATATATAGGTATATATAACCGTTTTTATTGATTTCAGAGAGGAAGGGAGAGGGAGGGAGAGATAGAAACATCAATGATGAGAGAGAATCATTGATCAGCTGCCTCCTGCACACCTCACACTGGGGATCGAGCCTGCAGCCGGGCATGTGCCCTGACCAGAAATCGAACCTTGACCTGGTTCATAGGTCAACGCTCAACCATTGAACCACGCCTGCCAAGCTCAAGTCTTTTTGATGTAAAGTTTTAGTAGTGCAAATAGGATTTTTTAAAAAATTCCAGTTATAACTGCTGTTTCATTTCTGATACCATTTTTGTTTTATTTCCTGAATAGATTTGATAGAACTTTGTATTTATTTTAATTTCTTTTTTTTACTTTTTAAAAACGTTTACTTTGGACTTTTTGCTAACTTTCTGATTTAGTTGCCTCTTTAATAAATGTTTAGTTTTGTTTTGGTTATATGGCACTAGTCTGCTCTTGTTCTTAAACTTATGTCTTGTACTTAGTTTCTCTCGCAAGCATGTCAAACTCACAGCATTAAATGAGGCATTCAGCCCATCGCCCGCAAGCAGCAGTTCTCAACCTGTGGGTCGAGACCCCTTTGTTGGTCGAACAACCTTTTCACAGGGGTCGCCTAAGACCATCCTGCATGTCAGATATTTATATTACGATTCATAACAGTAGCAACATTACAGTTATGAAGTAGCAACAAAAATAATTTTATGGTTGGGTCACAACATGAGGAACTATATTTAAAGGGCCAGAAGGTTGAGAACCACTGGCCCGCAAGTTTGACATACCTGCTTAGGGGTTCTTTTGGGAAGAATGGCTCATAACTACTACATAGGCTCTCATGGACCTCTATTGGGTTACAGGTTTTAATTCTCTAGTTTTGGTTTTTATCTGATCAAATAATACTTAAGTACAAAGCTTAACTTTCAGGTAAAGAAAGGCTACCTTAATCACCAACTCCAATTCAAGACCATTCCACAGAGATTAATTACTGTTGTTAATTGATGTCTATCTTTCTACCCTTTTCTATTTCTGTATCATTCTTAGAAATGTAAACAGTCTAGTGTCTGCATTCTGCATGTGTTTTAGTAACAAATGGTCATTTTACTATTTTTGTTCTTAATTTGCTCTTCTCATTCAGCAGTATATCTTGGAGAGCTTCCATGTCAGTACTTGTAGATCTAAAATATAGAATTTTTTTTTTTTTTTTGAGAGAGAGGAAAGGCCAGTGGGAGAGAGAGAAACATCAATTGGCTGCCTCCTGCTTGTCCCCTACCAGGAATTGAGCCAGGGTCAATTCCCTGACCCGAAATTGAAGCAGCAACCTTTTGGTGTATGGTATGATGCCCAACCAACTGGGTCACACTGGCCAGGGCAACAGTGTAGAATTTTTAATTACTGCATAGTATTCCATAGTATGTGAATACTATAGTTTAGTTAACTCTCTATCTATTAATGATATTTAGGTATTTTCATGAATATTTTTTTGATTCCTGTAAGCAGTGCTGCTGTAAGACATTCTTGTATGTTCTCTCTTGTGTTCCTCTGTGAATATTATTTTATTAGAAATGGAATTAAATGGGTCTTAGAGATAAATGTTTTTATGGATTTTGCCAATTTGCCCTTTGAATATCTACTACAATATACATTACTTTTAGCAGTACCAGTTCTCCATATTTTTGGCCTACTTCTATTCCTTTTATTTTTGCCAAACTAATACATTAATCAAAGTAACTCATTTTATGTCTGATTTCTACCTTTCTAAAATTCTTAAAAATTCCTGATCTAATCTTGGCATCTTTCTGTACTGTATAATATTCCATGTATATCTTTTATTTTTCTGTATATATCTTTGCTATCATCTTAATATAATTTTAGAAGAAAGGAGATATGAACACATGTCTGTAATAACCCACTGTTCTGAACTGTTTTGGATGCTGGACTTTTGGCTGTGAGGTCTAACTTGCTTTTGCATGCTGTCCTCTACATTCCCACAATTTAAATTCATATGTCAACATATATCTATGTGTGGCATAAATCTTTGGGTCCAATTAGTAAGTACTTGAAATGGTAAGTGTAAATTAGGGAATCTGTTACATGAATAAAAATGTAATGATTTAAAAAATGATTTTGAAATTTTTATTTTTAGGTATTAGAATATTTAAATGATCTGAAACAATATTGGAAAAGAGGATATGGGTATACTATTAATAGTCGATCCAGCTGCATCCTGTTTCAGGATATCTTTCAGCACTTGGACAAAGCAGTTGAACAGAAAAAAAGGTAAAAACTTAAAAAATAATTTTATTTTTTAATCTTCACCTGAGGACATGTTTATTGGTTTGAGAGAGAGAGAGAGAAACATAAATGTGAGAGAGAAGCATTGATTGGTTGCCTCTTGCATATACCCCCACCAGGCACCAAACCTGTAAAACCAGGCATAGGCCCTGACAGGGAATCAAACCCGAGGCCTTTCGGAGTACATATTTCTATCCTGCTTTTTCAAAGTAAAGTTTATATCTGGAATGTAATTGCTTGCCTCGTGAAATCTTTTTTTGTGAGTGATACTCTCAGACATCAAAATTAATTGCTATAAATATTTCTTATTTTCTTTTTTTTTTTTTTAAATATATTTTATTGATTTTTTACAGAGAGGAAGGGAGAGAGATAGAGAGTTAGAAACATCGATGGGAGAGAAACATCGATCAGCTGCCTCCTGCACATCTCCCACTGGGGATGTGCCCGCAAAGTTTATATCTGGAATGTAATTGCTTGCCTCGTGAGATCTTTTTTTGTGAGTGATACTCTCAGACATCAAAATTAATTGCTATAAATATTTCTTATTTTCACTGAATAACTTTCATTATCCTTTTTCTAACTTTTCATTGACTCTCAAATCTCTGGTATTTTCAGATTTCACTGGGTATGGGTATGGCTTTTTAAGGTTGTGTAGTTCCATATTTTAACATAAGATGGCAGCATTGAAATAAATGTGTAAAATAGCCATTTGGTTAATTAGCCCATTATAATGGGAGAGCTTTGTCTTTTAAAGTTCTTAGAAATGCATGCAGATTCTAAGTCCTCAGAACCTATTCTTGCTGGTCTTTTTGCTAACTTTCTGAAGTTGGTGTTCCAGGGAATTTTAACTCAGTGTACCAGGAGGTGCCACCTCAGTTTTAGTGCTAGTTATTGAAAGAGACTAGCTAAATGAGGTAAAAAGCAATGTACTCTGAATGCAGATTCAAATGGCCAGTTGCTTCTGGAAAGATACTTTTTGATTCTCAGTGGACTATAGGTCTGTGATACCTGGAACTTTGTTTATTTCACCGCTCTCTCCTCAGTGCCTATGAACAAGTGTGGAATGCAGTTGGAATGCTCAGTAGATATTGAAAGACTATCCACAATCCTTTTTCTTTAGTACTCCCTGTTTTAGTCAATGACACCATCATCCTCCCAGGCAGCCAAGCCACAAACCCATGCATCATTTTTACCCTGTCTCCCTCATCCTCTACATCTCTTAATATCGTGATTTTTTTTTCTTTCGACTTCCAGTTTTATATCAATCTCTTCCACTTTTCTTCACCCCTCACTGCTACTGCTATTGGTGGAAGTAGGGGGTCCACATCTCCATCTGTTGCTAGTGGGAGAGGGCTTCTTGCGATATCCCAAGAAAATGAATTTTCTGAGACTCACGGGGGAGGGTGAGATTGTAGGAAGTTTTATTTCTGTGGAAAGTTTTATTTCAAGCCCCTTAGTTTCCAAGGTTTCATTTCCCTCAGTACCACCAAGGAAGAAGTCCCATTTTGCCTTTAGTAGGGCTATAATCAGAGCCAGTGTCTAGAATTTTTGTTCCATATTTGCACTCTCCAGTCCAGCATCAGGCTAGCTTAGCTTGTGTTCCCAACTTCAATCCATTAGTCCATTGTGTGTGGAGTCCGCATGGCTGTGGGTCATACAGGGGAAATGTAAAGAATCGGTACAAGAGAGCTCCATGAGCCAAGAGCAGTAAGAGAGGATTCCTTTGTTTAGGGATTATGTCTTCCTAAATTTTCACAGGCTTGCATTGGCTACACCCATTGTAGCCAATCCATGGTTCCCCAGGCTTGACTGACAGGCAAGTACCTTCCCTAGTCACCGCAGCTTCACTGTACATGCATCTGTCTCCCCTTTGTTGGACTCCTTTATCCCCAGTGATCTGCAAGCTGCCCAGTGGCCATGCTTTTAATGTCTGGCCTTCCCTTTGCTCCTTTCCTATTAGTAATACCTACCTAATTACATAGGTATCACTACCACCTCAGTTTATGCTAGCTAATATCTTCTCCTAGATTTTAGCACCTGCCTCCTACGTGCTTTCCTAAATTTCAGTGTTGCTCCCATTCCACTCTAACACAGCTTACGCAGGCAGAAGGTGAATACATTTAAATTACTGTCTCAGAGAACTCATGTCTGGTTTGGAGGATATTTGTAAAAGCACTAAAAAAAGTGCTGAAGGAGAATAAATTTGAACTGTGGGGTTTGGTAAAGGCTTGATGGAGGGAGGAATCTTTGAGCTTGGTTACTGAAAACTTCTGTCACTAACCTCAGCATATGAGCCCTTAATATTTTTGATTTTTTTAAAAATAGCTCTATTGAGGTATAGTTGATATAAACAGCACATACTTAAAGTGTTCAATTTGATGAGTTTTTATATATATGTTTATACCCATGAAATTGTCACCAAAATTATGATAATGAAATATCCATCACATGCAAAGATTTCTTTGTGAGTCTTTGTAATCTACTTTCCACCCCCCAACCCCCACCCCTATTACAAACTGGGCAACCACTGATCTGCTTTCTGACACTATAAATCAATTTGTGTGGTTTTTTAGAATTTTGTATACTGGAATCATATAATATGTACATTTTTTTGGTTTGGCTTCTTTCACTCAGCTCAATGTTATGAGATTTATCCATGTTGTTGTGGCTATGAGTAGTTAATTCCTTTTTAAGGCTGAGTAATATTCCCTCCATGGTACACCACAATTTGTTTCTCCACTCTCCTTATGATGGACGTTTGGGTTGTTTCCAGTCTGAGGCTATTACAGATAAAGCTGCTGTGGACCTTTGTGGTCTTTATATGGACATATGCATATCATTTCTCTTGGATAATATCTAGAGAGCTGGAATAGCTGAGTGTATGTTTAACTTTTTAAGAAACTGCCAATCTCTTCCCACCAATGTATGAGAGTTCCTGTTATTCTTCATCCTAGCCAATACTTGGTATAGTAGATCTTTATAATTTTAGCCATCATAATGGGTGTTTAATAGTATCTCATTTGGTTTTAGTTTACATTTCCCTAAAAATTAATGATATTGAGCATCTTTTCATATTTTGGGGGGCTCCCCTTCTCTGTGCTGCAGCCTTGAAACTCCAGGCAGTAATCTGGGACAGTTGTTGGGGTTCACCTGATTTGCCTTCCTTCACTCTTACTGTATTGTTGAATGCCTGAAAAATGCTCTTTTGTATATTTTGTCTGATTTTATAGTAGTTCAAGGCAGAAAGGTAAATCGGTTCCTGTTATTCCATCTTGAATGGAAGCAGAATTTATTTTTATATCTTTGCTTGAGAAAAAAAATCTTTATGTTTGAGCCATTTTAGTTCTACATTTGTGTTAAGCTGTCAAACAGATGCTTCTCCAGATGCCTCATTGGAGCTGATATTTCAATCAGATGTATAAGAAGATAAAAAATTTTCCTGTTAATTTTCTTCCCAAAGCTCCTCATATCTCTGGCAGTTCATGTTACTTATTTGTGCACTTACATAAGTATGGGGATTATGTGGATCATGTTTAAAAACACCCCTTGTGTAATATTAGTTGAGTGTGAAACTTGAATTAAGAGCTTAGAAAGATCTAAGCTGAGTACTATATTTAGGGGAAAAACATGCAACTATTGGTTGTTTTTCTGGTTGAACTTTTTGAATGACTTGAAGTGCTTTTTTGCAGTGTTACCTATTTTGAACATACACATTGTAGTCAACCTTTATTTAACAACAGAATTTTAGACTTCAAATTAAATTTCATTTTTAATTGAAGATTTAATAAAATCTTCTTACCAACTTATAATAGTAAAAGAGGGCTGCAATTTGGAGAACTGCATTTTTATCTTGCTAGATAACATTAGGCAATTCACTTGACTTTTCCTTATTTCTAAAATGAGAGGATTTGACCACTTCTCAACCCTAAAACATTGATTCCAGCAGTGTATTTCTATATATACATTCATATAGATTAATCACTTGTTTTCTTATATTTGTATTGATACTTTACATTTTCTAGGTTGTCCTTCCTTGGGACTTGGGTATAGAATTCAAGGACAAGCTGGAGATGAGGTTCTTTCAAATAGTAATTGGACTTACACTAACTAGAGTAAATTAGTGCCTAGCAGATGTGTGACACTTCCAAGATTTACTCTCTATTGTGAGGCAGAGCAAAAATAGTGTGTTCCTGAAGTGGAACCAACTCACTTCACAGAAATTACGGATTTATTTTACAGAAACTTGGCATATACCTTTAATGGCCTCTGATGAAAATTGGATCATAAATAAAGACTCTCCTGTATTTGCTTTGACAACTTTAGAGTTATAAAAACCAATAAAAAAGCCCTACTGTATTTGTGGCCACACACAAATTCCATAACTCTTTAACCCCCACTAATTGAAGATATATAAGTAAAAATGGAGATTTTTGATGTTTGGATATAATTTAGAATAGAAATGTTTTTCCATTTAATGCTACTTTGTAAAGAAACCTTGAAATGTAAGTCATCTGAAAGGGTAAACACGTATAAGCATGAGCAGCTGTTTAAGACGGATTATGTTAACTCTTTGGAATAAAAATACCCACTTTTGAGTCACATATATCCCCATGTCAGTAGGTTTTTTGTTGTTTGTTTTGTTTTTAATAAACTCTTCTTTAGATCAGTTTTAGGTTTATAGCAAAATTGAGCAGAAAGTACAGAGAGTTCCTGTACACTCCTTTGCCTACCCCTTACTATTGGCATTCTATATCACAGTGGTACATTATAATTAATAACCCTCCAACAAAACATCGTTATCACCAAAGTCAATAGTTTGCATTAGAGTTCACTGTTGGTGTTGTACATTCTCTGGGTTTGGACAAATGCATAATGACAGGTATCCACCATTGTAGTATTATACAGTAGTTTTTATTGCCCTAAAAATCCTCTGTTCTTTGCCTATTCATCCTTCTCTCACCCCAACCCCTGGTAACCATGATCTTTTTACTGTTTTCATAGTTTTGCCTTTTTCAGAATGTCATATAGTTGGAATCATATGCTATGTAGCCTTTTCAGATTGGCTTTTTTCACTTAGTAATATGCACTTAAGTTTCCTCCATGTCTTTTCATGGCTTGATAGTTCATTTCTTTTTAGCACTGAATAATATTTCATTATCTGGAATACCACCATTTATTTACCCATTCACCTACTAAATAACACCTTGGTTGCTTCTAAGTTTTGACAGTTATGAAAAAAGCTTCTATAAATGTCCATGTGTAGGTTTTTGTATAGATATGTTTTTAATTCACTTGCACATATACCAAGGAATATAAGGATCATGTGGCAAGGAATATAAGGACCATTCACCTACTAAATAACACCTTGGTTGCTTCTAAGTTTTGACAGTTATGAAAAAAGCTTCTATAAATGTCCATGTGTAGGTTTTTGTATAGATATGTTTTTAATTCACTTGCAAATATACCAAGGAATATAAGGATCATGTGGCAAGAGTATGTTTACTTTTGTCAGAAACCACCAAACTGATTTCCACAATGGCTATATCATTTTTTTATAAGATACCATTAAGCCCCTTTTATTTTATTTTTATATATTTATTGATTTCAGAGAGGAAGGGAGAGGGAGAAGGAGATAGAAACATCAATAATGAGAGAGAATCATTGATTGGCTACCACCTGCATACCCCCTACTGGGGATAGAGCCCACAACCCAGGCATGTGCCCTTGACCAGAATCGAACCTGGGACCCTTCTATCCGCAGGCTGATGCTCTATCCACTGAGCAACACCAGCTGGGCAGCTATATCATTTTGCATTCATACCAGCAGTGACTGAATGAAATCCTGTTGTCAGTACTTGGTGGTGTCAACTTTCTGGATTTTCATATGTAGTGGTATCTTGTTTTAATTTGTAATTCCTTACTGACATGATGTGGAGCACCTTTTCATTTACTTACTTGCCATCTGTATATCTTCTTTGGTGAGCTTTCCAGGTCTTTTGCCCATTTAAAAAATATATATTTTTATTAATATGAGAGAGAGAGGAAGGGAGAGGGATAAATAGAAACATCAATCAGCTGCCTCCTGCATGCCCCCCACTGGGGATCGAGCCTGCAATCCCAGGCATGTGCCCTGACTGGGAATCGAACCAAGGACCTCTTGGTTCTTTGGTCCATCCGTGTTCAACCACTGAGCCACACAAGCCGGGTTTTTGCCCCATTTTTTAATTGGGTTGTTTCTTATTGTTGAGTCTTAAGAGTTCTTTGTATATTTCAGATAACAGTCCTTTGTCATAGGTGTCTTGTGCAAATATTTTCTCACAGTTTGTGACTTGTCTTCTCATTCTCTTGACATTGACTTTAGCAGAGGAGAGTTTTTTAATTTTAATAAAGATTAACTTATCAGTTAACTTTCATGGATCATGCCTTTGGTGTTATATATATATAAGTCATTACCATATCCAAGGTTATATAAGTTTTCTCCTTTGTTATTTTCTAGGAGTTTTATTGTATTGAGTTTTACATTTAGGTCTATGATCATTTTTTAGTTAATTTTTGTGAAGAGTCTCAGGTCTGTATCCAAATTCATTGTTTTTTGCATGTGGATGTCTAGTATTCCAACACCATTTGTTGAAAAGACTGTGTTTGCTCCATTGCGCCTGTATTGTTATTGCTCCTTTGTCATAATTATGAGTTAGATGTTTTACTCCTACTTTCTTAAGGAGCCTTGAAGAAGATTGCTTTGTCATATGTATTCTAGTTTCAACACTTGAACCACTAAGGATTACTAAGTTGAATTTCAGCTTGTAAAGTAGAATAGTGAAGAAAAGCAGTTATGTTTGAGACAAGTGACATAGTCTAAGCCAGTGATGGCGAACCTATGACACGCGTGTCAGAGGTGACACGCGAACTCATTTTTTTGGTTGATTTTTCTTTGTTATATGGCATTTAAATATATAAAATAAATATCAAAAATATAAGTCTTTGTTTTACTATGGTTGCAAATATCAAAAAATTTCTATATGTGACACGGCACCAGAGTTAAGTTAGGGTTTTTCAAAATGCTGACACGCCGAGCTCAAAAGGTTCGCCATCAGTGGTCTAAGCTGTTATTTAATAGAAATACTTTTGAGTTAATGCAAAAAATACTTAACATTCTTTTAGATCTAGTAATTTATTTAAAAGTGTGCTAAATTCTGCTTCTTACCCTTAAAACCCAAACTAGACATTCAGTGAGCTCTGAATTTTTTCTTGAAATGCAAAAATCAAGAAGAATGAAATTTTAAAAAACATTGATTTTTAGAATGGTTCCTAGCTTTGGAGTTACTGTCTCATGGCTGGAGGACTTAAACTGTAAACCAGTATTTGTTTTTCTTTAACTTGTATCACTATTAAATTGCATTATATTTACATTATGGAAGTGGTATTAGCTTTGACTTGCATATGCTCAAATGTATAAAGAGATCTGGGAAGTAATGAAATATCCTATGTTAGACAGCGTGGAGTGACGTATGTCCCATGTAACAGGTTTATGTCCACTCTGGAAGGTAATCCTCATTCCTATTATACTGATTATTGCCTTGTGGGAATATTTGTGTTGCCAGGTCTTTCAGTTTTTCAAGAGGAGCCAAAAAAATCTGGATTTTTAAGAATCTGAAATCTCCCAATTTTGAAATACTGACAAATAATGCAAAATTGAAAAATATTTATGCAGGTGAAATTGAATATAGCTATGGTCAGAATGTTACTGCTTTGTAACTTCAGACCTAAGGGGATGCTTCTTGGAAATAAATATAAGGCTTTAGATGCCCTACTTAATGTATACCAGTTAAGAAGAGAGGCTTACAAACACTTGTTGATGAGAATGTTTTGTGCTTCTAAGTGTAGATATTATTTTCTACGACACGGATACATAGACATATTTTTTCTCAATTTCTCATTTAAGGTCTCAGCCAATTTCCTCTCCAGTCATCCTTCAGTTTGGTCATGCAGAGACTCTTCTTCCACTGCTCTCTCTCATGGGCTACTTCAAAGACAAGGAGCCCCTCACAGCTTACAATTACAAGGAACAAATGCATCGGAAGTTCCGAAGTGGTCACATTGTACCTTATGCCTCAAACCTGATATTTGTGCTTTACCATTGTAAAAATGCTAAGACTGCTAAAGAAGAATTCCGAGTGCAGTTGTTATTGAATGAAAAGGTGTTACCATTGGCTAACTCGCAAGAAACTGCTTCTTTGTATGATGATCTGAAGAACCATTACAAGGACATCCTTCAGAGTTGTCATACCAGTGAAGAATGTCAATTACCAAAGGTGAACAACACATCTGATGAGCTATGAATAACTGGAGAACATTTTTAATTCATCAGGAATCTATAGGGCGTGATTACATGCGTGGAGTAGGTGGGCAGTCCCTGGTTACAGAAAGCTTTCACATTACTTGGGTATTTCTGTCTTCATAGAAAAACAATGAGTTTCTTTTTTAGTCTGGACATGAACGTGTAAGCAACAATTCTTCACTGGAGCAGCTCTCTTAAGGGGAAAATATCTATTCAAAGAAATAGTTGGCACTGCAAATGTTTACAGAAGTTAAATTCTTCCTTTTTATATAAGAAATCTCACACTGAGAATATGTTTTCCAAATAAAGCTTGAAAATGCTGGAGTAACAAAGTATGTCAGTTGGATGATCCATAACTTGATGAACCTTGTCTATGAACTTTACCAGTTGTGCTGCAATTCTCTCTTTTTTTTCCTCAAGTAGCACAGTTCTAGTATTATCTTTCTTAATCAGAAATATTGTGATACACTGGGAATATCATTTTGGAAGAAAGTTAAGATCTCTGAGAATTTGAAACAATATTAAGCAGTCTGATGTAAAAGGACACTTTCACTGAAGAAAGACAAAAAATAAAATAAATGTTTTTGTTAATAGTATTTATAAAGTATTTGAAGACTTTTTCAATAATTCCTTTTAGACTTCTACTAAGTCCTGCAAAGCCAGTCTTTCACTGTCATACCTGTTTTATATATATAACAATAGAATGACAAAGAGGACCATTAGCAATGTCAGATGGATCGAATCAAAGTTCCTTCAGTCCATTGCTTAGCAGTTTTTAGCATTCTGTCACTTTGCTTCAGTTTTTATACACGGTGTCCCAAAAAATGTATACACACTTTAAATAATTATAAAAGCAATGTTTATTAAAAGACATTTCATTTTTAAAATGTAGTAGAATCAGCTGTTAAAGTCTGTGTATACATTTTTGGGGGACAGCCTATATTTTGCTATTACATCTTTTGAAATATGTTTTGGTTGCTTAATTTTTTTTATTCCTTTTGTTTATTATTAATTTCAGGGAGGAAGGGAGAGAGAGAGAGAAACATCAATGATGAGAGAGAATCATCAATTGGCTGCCTCCTGCATGCCCCCTGCTGGAGATTGAGCCCAAAACCTGGGCATGTGCCGTGACCAGGCATCGAACCCTGACCTCATGAGTCAGTGCTCAATTACTGAGCCATACTGGCCAGGCTCTTTTTTAAAAAATAAAGACTATCCTGGCTGGCTTAGTTTCACAGATATGAACCCATTTTTTAAAAAGAGTTCTGAATTCTGTCAAATACCATGAAAGTTTTTGCTATAATAATAAGCAGAATTCTTGCCCTGGCTGGCTTCACTCAGTGGTTAGAGCGTTGGCCAGCAGACTGAAGGGTTGTGGTTTTGATTCCCATCAAGAGCACATACCTCAGTTGCTGGCTCCATCCCCCACCCCGTCGGAGTGTGCGGGAGTCAATCAATCTATGTGAGACAAATGTCTCTCTCTGTCTCTCCCCTCCCTTACACTCTCTAAAAAAATCAGTGGAAAAAATATCCTTGGGTGAGAATTAAACAAACAAAAGACAAAATTCTTGGTCTTTTCTACTCTTTGTGTTGATAAACAATCAGTCATTGATGGTAAAAGTTTGGGAATTTAAGCAGCTTTGACTAAATCAGGCAATGCAAGGCAATTTTCTTGTAATTGAAATATTCTCAAATAAATGGAAATCCATTTTATTAAAAAATCTAAGGAGCATCACAACTATATATTGCAATTATAAAAAAAGATGCATAGATCATTGATCTTCAAATTAATAATGTTCTTAAAATAGATAATTAGCTGGTAAATCCTGTTGATCCATTAATATACTGCTGATTGTTCCTGCAAAAATGTCTGGTGCTTGCTTTTTTAAAAACTATGTAAATAGGTAGATAAGAAGAGAATAAGGTAATGAACATTTATGCCCATTGTCCTCTTTGATGAAAATTAGCATTATAATATTTGACTTGGATCCAAATAAGAACAATTGAGGACTTAAATGCTTCCCTGATGCTATTGCCCTCACTCACTGCCAGCATAAAATTCAGTAATCACCATTCCATTACATGCTTGACTCTGGAAGCTTGTAGTATTATTGTGGAAGTTTTAAAATATTCTACAAAAGGACATACTGTGCATAGTATTCTTGAATCTGCTGTATTTGTTTTTCAAGACTTATTAATCCCGATCATTTGTCACAGATTAGTACCATCAATTCATTAATACCTGTTGAGTACTTTTTATGTACAAACACTAGATCCAGTCTGTGGGCATCTAACGTTGAATGAACACAATTCTTACAACTTACATGTGGAAGTTATAGCAGTTGTTTAATTTCATTGTTAAATAGAACGATGTTGTCATCTTTGTAGTCATTGCTAAGTTTGACATTTACCCAGTCATTTCAGGATGATGGGTAAATGTGGTCCATTTGTGCTAATACAGAGATAGAGATAGAGATAGTATTCTGGTGCTATTATTCTCATTTTGGAAATGCCTGAAACAAGAATATCATGATGAAAACTAAAGGTCTTACCCAGGATAGGATATATCAAAAATAATAGGTGACCAAATTACTTCAGTTAAGCCAAATTGAATCCTGTCCGGCATGACATTTTAGCCTATGGACATTCGCCATTTTTCTGTTTAATCTACAAGTTCATGAGTGCAGTGTATTGTACTTACTGGTTTTTCTAATCATTTTGAAGTTTCTGCTCTCCAACACACATAATCATCCACTGGATACTATTTTTGTACATGCCATAATCTTGATCTTTAATTTTAATACTGAAAGCAAAACTCAACTTGTAAAGAAAAAAGAGCTTGTTTTTTCCAGACATAATCAACTTTCATATCTTTACGTGAGTGCTTTCCTTTTGTAAACTGTAGAACTGACAGAGGCCCTTAAATTTCCAGAAGTTAAAGCAACCAAACCAGAATATATAAGTATACATTTTTGGATTCTATTTCTCTAAGGTGACATTTCATGTGGTTCATTAATTATCTTTGGAATTTGGACTGTCTTCTGCCAAATGTAATCCTAAAATAAATATTTGCATTGTCATATAATTTGCCTATATCTAACTTCTGTACTTCACAGATCACTTAATTCTCTCCTAATCATTCGTTTTCTCTTAAGCATTTTAAGCAGCTCAATTCACTTTTAAGCACTTCCACATTAATCTATTAAGCTATTTTTAATTGGTGTGTGTGTGTCTGATAGTTTTTTTGAGAAAATTTCACAGCAAGAAAAAAGATGTCATATTCTTCCAACTAAAAGATTTGTAGTTAGAGCTCAATGCCTGGCAGTTTAGGAGGAGGTTAACTTTTAAACTTTGTTTCACCATCTTTACTGAGATAATACATGTTAATATAGGATTCTTAATTTTATTTCTAAAATTCATAATTTATTATTTTCCTGTACTATTCCCAGGTTTTATTTTTTTTCTTTATTGATTAAAGTATTACATATGTGTCCTTATTTCCCCATTGCCCCCCCCCCACCCTACCCCCACTCTTGCCCTCACCCCGCTGGTGTCTGTGTCCATTGGTTAGGCTTATATGCATGCATACAAGTCCTTTGATTGATCTCTCCCCCTTACCCCCACCTTCCCCTACCTTCCCTCTGAGGTTTGATGGTCTCATCGATGCTTGTCTGTCTCTGGATCTGTATTTGTTCATCAGTTTATGTTGTTCATTATATTCCACAATATTCTCAGATTTTAAACCATTATTTAGACCCAAGCATTTCATGTTCACACTTTTATTTGTTGTACTGGGAGAACAATATTTGTTCATTAAAATGGCAGCCTTCCAAATTGAATAGTACTCCTAGTATAATGAGAAAGTTTTATTAGAATATTCATTTTACATTATTTCTGAAATGGGTAATATGGAAAATTAAGTTGGGATAGCAATCTACAGATTCAGCTTTTTTCATTAGAGTTCATTCTACCAGCCTTGGTTTTGATTGTCTTTTTACCGAATATTAACAATTTGGATGCTTTTGAAAATCTTTTCAACGAATACTCTCATTCTGGAAAAAATAATCCAGTTTTGATGTAAATCATATAAGAACTAGAGTCCCGATGCACGAAATTCTTGCAAGAATAGGCCTTCCTTCCCCTGGCTGATGGCACCGGCTTCCCTCGCAGCCCCGGCTTCGTCTGGAATGTCATCCAGAAGGACGTCTGGTCTAATTAGCATATTATGCTTTTATTATAGATAATACTGGTGAAATATATCTTTGGATACATACAGATGAGAAAGTTTTCTTTAATAAGAAACATTCCAAGTTGGAGATAGGAAGAACACTAATTTTGATCCAGCCATTACTTTGTTTTCCTTAAAATTTTTTTGTTTTCCTTGCCTTCCTGGGGAAGTAAGAAGACAAGTCTTGGCAAGACAATGTAGTGCTTTTTTCTTCTGTCTGCAGTGTTGCTCCCTGAAACTTTGTCACTCTTTGCAATATGGAGATTAGGATGAGAGCTTGGTTTTCTAATTTCACTATTTTAGATATAGCTTTGTAGTTTCCTTAAAGAGTGCTACAAGTGCTACCCATGGTGGGAAAAATATAACTGAGTTCCAGAGCTTTCCTTGCTACTTTAGTACTGGATGACTAAAAGAGATTGGAGGAAAGATACCGAGATTTAGGGGGCGGAAGGCTGAAGAAATGAGATAGAAACAATCCTTGGCTTTTCCTTGCTAAGAGATAAAACATGAAACTCCTTAATGGGGAATGAGAAGTAGCTGGAGCCTGGCCAGCATGGCTCAGTTGCATGGCCTTGTATACTGAAAGGTCGCCAATTCCTGGTTAGGGCACATACCCAGGTTGTGGATTCGATTCCTGGTTGGGACTTGTACAGGAGGCAATTGATTGATGTTTCTTCCTCACATTGATGTTTTCTCCCTCTTCCTTTCTCTCTAAAATCAATAAAATAAAATACTTAAAAGGAGTGGCTGGGGTTTTACAGCCACTTTAGTATGGTTGCAAGCATCAGGTCTTCCTATATTTACTGTTTTCTTCCCATACATACATAGCTTTTCACTTGAAGCGCTTTATGGCTTCTCATTGGCATATCTAAATTGCTGGCATAGCTACTCTTATACTTGGGGGCCATTATTAAGTAAACTAAGGGTTACTTGAACAGAAGTACTGTGATACTACAACAGCTGATCTGATAACGGAGATGGGTATTAGGTGACTAATAGGCAGGGAGCATATACAATGTGGATACACTGGACAAAAGGATGATTCACATCCAGGTGGGACAGAGTAGAATGGTATGAGATTTTATCAGGCTACTCAGAACAGCACACAATTTAAAACATGAATTTTTTATTTCAGAAATATTTCCATTTAATATTTTTGGACCTCAGTTAACGGGATAATTGAAATCATGGAAAGTGGAACTGGATAAGGGGGCCTACTGTACTTGCTTTTTAAGTCTAACTGCCATCAGCTTAGGTCTTTAAAAAGAAGTGTAGCTGGCCCAGCTGGCATAGCTCAGTGGTTGAGCATTGACCTACGAACCAGGTTCGATCCAGTCAGGGCACATGCCTGGGTTTCAGGCTCGATCCCCAGTGTGGGGCGTGCAGGAGGCAG